CTTCCTCCTTTATTAATATTCATGCATATATCATGTATATATATTTATATAAAAAATATACACATATTTTAATGCATAAAAATAAGCACGAAAATACCCATATTTATGGCTCTGATACCAATGTAAATCAAAGTATAAAAAATGCAGCGGATAAAATATTTAGATCATACCTTTAGATGATAGAACCTCGTGGGTAAATCACGTGCTTCCAGAATCTGATAAACAAACCCAGCAGTGAAGTGATATTACAGAATGAATATCACCCACACAAATCACAGTGCAAATGACTTGATCGTTGTTTTGGGGAGAGAGTCAGTATATGGGTAAAACTCAGATCATACGTTGTTTCTCTCTTAATCACCCATAACCCATATACCAGATATATAATGTGTTATTATTATCTATCCATATCAGTTAATGGAGATAATATCTGTATCCTGAGTGGTTATCCTAAATAGGTTTGAATTCAATTTCAAAACCTATTTGGATAAGGTTCAAATTCAAATTCAAATGGTCATGCCACATGGGCGCCCATTTAGTGTTAGTGATGCAATGTTTGTGAGTTCAATTTCAATTTTTTGCACGATTAAGCTTCAGTAATAACCAACTTCACTTGATTAAGCTTATAATATGTGTTTTACAACTAGGGATTTTTTTTTGTGTACCAATTATTATGTGGTCCTAAGTTTTTGTATTTAAAACTTAGAAATGAATCGATCTGTGAATTAATTTTTTCCAAGAATGCTTGGTTACGAGGAGTGTAACCAACAGTAGGTGGGCTTGATTGTAGAACCGACACGTTCTGTGTATGTATTACTGTATAAATTGTAATTAGCTTCACATAAACATAGATCAATCTAATGCTAGCCCAAGAATGGTTGTGTAAATTTTAGATGTTTTGAGTTATTTAACAATGACTATTTGCAAATTATGATTTTAAAATTAAAATATATTTACCATGGTTGTGTAAATCTTAGACAAGCCTTTTTCTTGTATTGGTATTAATTTTTATTTTATTTTATTTATGTTGTTAATATTTTATTTGAAATAGTTTACAGTTTTTCTCAAGTTTAGTTTGAATTTGAGAGAACTTGAGGGCCTGTGGGACTCATCAAGTGTTTCATCATTTTATAAGACTGTTAGTGTGTATCATCTATGGAAAAAAATGAGATTGATTCAATAATTGTAACCATTTTATTTTATGGTGTTCATTTACCAAAAGTGAATGATTTATTTTAAAAAATATACATGTCTATTTTTTTTAAGACAAACGAGATAAAATGAATAGGTTACGATTATTGAATTGATATAAACATTTTTATAGGTGATAAAAATCAAGGGCTTTACAAAATGAACAGTTCGAAACAATGAAACAGAACCTCAAGTTCAAAGCCTAACTTTTTATTTGATAATAAAGAGTCGGACCTCAAGTTCAAAGCCTAATTTTTTATTTGATAATTAAGAGTCAGTTATGTGGTTGAATGAGAGATTAATAGATGAATGAGTTCTTATACAAAAAAATTATGTATTTGACACTATTGACAATTGGATTATCATGTAATGATTCCAAAAATAAAATATCATCCAATGCAATTGTAAAAGTTTATGTTCTTTTTTCTTTTTCTTTTTTTCAAGACAACAATATAATAGTTTTACAATTTATTTAAAGTTTTAAAATTTTAAATGTTTAGTTTATTTATTTTTGTAATCGAATTTGTTTAACATACATGTAAGGTGACTCATTTATAAAAAAAAAAATTGGAGTTGTAACTAAATCTGCTAAATGATTATGATGACGGATTGTTAATCATTGGCTGGTGAAACCTAATAATTGTTCTATTTTGATCAGATAATATTATAGTTATTATAGTTGAGGTGATTAATATATACAAATTTATAGATGAATGTAATAAAGTGATATTCGCTAATAATGAAAAGTCTCTGTGTAATTACCCTATTAAAAATTAAAAACTAAGGAATGAGTAAAATATAATTGTGCTGAATTTAAAATATTTAATGTGTCTTTTTTTTTAAAAAAAAACTAAGAGAAAAGAAATTAGTCTAATTAACCCAAATACTATTTACAACACTGCTACATCTGTTGAATTTGTTTAGTCTGAACTCATCCGAATGAGTCTCTTTCCGGGAAGAATCTTCCAATTCTGGAAAGAGACTCCTTTAGACCTTTAGACAAATTCAGGATAAACAAGATTCTTCCTTAAAAGAGACTCATTCCGACTTAGGCTAAACAAATTTGATGGATAAATCATTAATTTACTATTTATGAGGAAAGTGGAAAAGAGTTGGTAAGGAGGAAATAGCCTTTTTAAACGTGTTTGATACAACTTATTATAAGTAAAAAGTTAAAAATTTGAAAGTATATTAAAAGTATTCTTCTCTTAACTTTTAAATAATCAGTTTATATAATTGATTTAAGTTATTTTTTGCCAAATAAATTAGAAGCAAAAGTTACAACAAACCGATTGACAGAAATTTTAAAAATCAAATAAGCTATAAGTTGCTCAGTTAATTCATCTGAGCCAAACAGCCCCTTTGAAATCTGTACATTTCGTCAACGCGGTTTGTAGGGACAGATTGAGGACTTTGTTTAAAAAGTACATATGGGATAATCATCTGAACCTTATTAGAATCCGAGATTTTTTATTTTTATTTTTTTGAGGACTTTAATTTTCAAAAGGACATATGGGATAACCATTTAAACCTTATTAGAACCCTTCCAACCCCAATAGATAAAAGAGAGGAGGGATGGCATAGTGACAAGCCTTCGATTCGAACCTGCCTTGAACCCCATAATAATATATTAGTGGCTCGGAAAAAAACAAAAGGGGAAATAAGTCGGTGCCCTTTCTTGGTTATCTATATAAATAAAGGTGGTTGGGTTGAGGTCCCCAGATAAGTTATTCTCGGAAAATGGCCAAATCTGATGGATATAATAGCCCTTTTGATTACAGTAGCGATGAAGAAAAGGAAATTGAAGCATATTTCCCTGACGATTTCAAGCAATATGTGGACACTCAACTCAACCGCTGCCCACTGGTGCGTCATGATTGTGGTTTCTTCGGTGGATGGGTTTTCTGGAGCCGAGAAGACGACCAATCCGAACATCCTCCGAGTGAGTGGGACTTTTATGTCTCTTCTCTTTTTCTTCTTCCTCTTCCTTTGAATATGGCTTTTATTTATTTAATTTGTAATCATGGAGTTTTATTTATAACTCAATTTTAAATCAACACAGTCACCTACTACCTGTTTTTCAAATCTCACTTCTCACCTCCAATTATTTTTTTTTTTTTTTGTTATCAGATATTTTGGATTTAAAAAAGAAGATCAAATATGTCCTTCGAAAGTGGTTACTCGATTGGTTTGAATATCCATCACTAGTTCAATTTTGGGCATCCACAATGACAATGGAGGACCGGTCTTATCTTACCACTCAAAACCAACCTTTCGCTCTTTCTACATTTGATACAAGAATTGATGATGATGTTAAAGGACCTGTTAGAGGACTTTATGGGTATAGGATGATCTCTAAGGACTATAAATTTTACACGGATAGAGAGAGTTCAGATGAACAACTTGGGGCTCCTGGCCGTGTGTTCAACCATGGATTTCCCGAATTCACTCCCAATGTAGAACATTACTCTATCAAAGAGTATCCATTGCGCGACCATGCTTTACGTTGCCAAGTTGCACAATCTTTGGCTATCCCACTGTTTGATCTTTCTACCCACTCATGTGTTGGTGTACTTGAGATAGTTTCAACAACGCCCCCAATAGACTCTCTATCGCACTACTACTTTGACTGGCAGGTTTTCTGTAATTTGAAGGTTGGTCCCCCAACTCACAAATTGGCATTTTTTATGTCTTTCTAATCTTGGTTGATTCATTCCTTTCTTATATGCATGCAGAATTGTGCTATCAAAAAAAAAAATAGATGAGAAGTGTGTTTTTAATAGGGTAAATTACAAAAATATAATTTGTTTAAAATACAGATTACTCCATGTGATTCTGAAAAGTACATCACGCCTCTTCAAATTTTTGATTGTATAACAAATGATTCATTTTATTAATAAATCATCAATTGCTGGAAAATGGCTCCGTGCTCCTCATGTGTCTATCCTACATAAAATTCATAGTTTTTTTGACCAACTAAACACAAATTACAAAAATGAAAGTGCTAATCTTTTGAAATCAAAATTAATCGGACTAGAATAATTAATACAGGACAAAGCTAGATGGACTATTAGCACAACTATTATTTGTTCATTTTTTTCATCTTGTCAGTGCTGAATGGCATGTGAGGAGTATGTAATTGCATTATTTCCTCACGTTTGTTATCAATATCAATGTGACGCAAAATGTAAAATTAAATGGTAAATTGTTATAATTAAAATTATAAGATCCAAAAAGATACAATGAATAAACTATTGAATTGAGGATAAGATAGCGTGTTGTTTATCTTCTCAGCATGAGCTTCTATGGTAGAAGGAAAGAAAGCAAAGCAAAACGGCAAGTTGTATTTTTTTTATTGCATTCCGTGCTCATTTAGCTGTGACTAAATTGTTTTTCCATTTTAGAGTCTCTTATATGCTTCCTTTTCTTGGCAAACAAATATTCTACATTTCAAAGTGTACAAGATTCCTTAGTCGCATCTTTCCATTCCCCTGCAGGAGGTAGGTCTGGAATCTTCAATTTCGGTTGCAGACCATCACAAGGAAAGAGTAAGTGGTACACTGTAATGTAATGTCAAATTTGATATTTTATTTTATTTTTTAAATTAATATGATAAGGAATATCTTCTGACAATACTTGGACGTGACAATACTTTTCAACCTGCTTCAGAGTGTGAGACATAGTGAAGCCTTACATGAAATCAACAAGGTGTTGGAAGTTGTGCGTGAAGATCATGGTTTACCTGTGGCTCAAGCATGGGCCCCGTGCGACGTTGACTGGACATGCTCAGCTCTAGTTAAGGGTGACATTTTCCATGTGATTAGCTATTCCACAACATATAAGTGCTGGAAATTCAATTGGGCCAACGCTGTATCTCACTTAAGAAAGGGGCAAGGAGTTGTTGGGAGAGCATTCTCGTCCCCCAATGTATTATTTTGCAAGGATGTAACCCAACTTAGCATAATTGACTATCCATTGGCACACAATGCACGGGTTGAAGAATTAGGTGGTTGTTTCGCAATATGCTTGCAAAGTAGTTGCACTGGAAATGACATTTACGTGTTAGAGTGCTTTATGCCGCCAAGCAACAAAGACTATGGTAATCAATAGACTGCATTGAGGAAAATATTGGAAACAATGAAGAAAAATTTCCAAACTTTTAAGCTTGCCTCTGGAGAAGAACTTGGGGAACATTTATGTATTGAAGAAATTTCTTTTCAGAATGGTGAGAAACTTGATTCTGTTCAAATGCCCCAAACTACTAAATCTTTGCCTAGGCTGGAGCCCTTGCAAAGTGGAGGAGAGATGACACAACTGGATTCATCGAATCAACAATCAATTGATGCATTAAGCAATGGAAGTAATATTGTAAGTGCGGAAAGATGCAACATTGATGTTACTTGTTCACAGGAAAAAGGCAAAACTAGGAGACCAAAAAGAGTGTACAATAGAACTGGAGTTAAAATTGAAATTCCTTTAGATGATATCTTACAAAATTCAACAAAGAGCAGCCAGGCTGCTGCAGATGACCTCAAAGGTATCTGTACTCTTAACAAATTAAAATAAAACATTGCTTGTGATTTTACTTATTATTTTCAACTCGACACTCTTCTCGTAAAGAAATATTTGACATTTTGCACCAACAAACATTAAGTTGTGTCTCTTACCTAGATTCTTCCTTTTGCAGTTAGCCGATCTGCACTAAATCGTGTTTGTAGACGTTATGGTTTCCCGAGGTGGCCACCACGCAAGAAGAATATGGTTGGTCAATCTCAACCTAGTGAATCTTCCCGGGGTGTTGATCATCAACAAATATCACAATTAAGTTTTGATCTGCCTTTCAATCAAGCCTCAACTACTGTTGTTCATGCAAACCCACATAATATAGCAATTGAAGATGCAAATATTGTGACCATGAGGGCAAAATATATGAATGATATTACAATAAAGTTTCAGCTGTCTTTGTCATCAGGACTGGTTGAGTTGCAACAACAAATAGCTAAGAGGCTGCACTTAGAAGCTGGAAGTTATTATGTCAAGTATAAAGATGAGGAAGATCACGTGATTTTAATAGCTTGCGATGATGACTTGCAGGATTGTATTAGCACTTACAGATTGCTGGGAACTTCCATCGTGGTATCTATTGATCCAAAGTAGTCAATTACCACTAACCAACTTGAATCATCTCAATTTTTTTAGTTGCTGCTATATTTTCTTTTGTTCTATCTTTTGATTCTAGAGATAGTTGTTGGACTATCATGCCTTGTTTCCTCTGTTTCAGGAAGGTTGGGAGTGTTTTGGGTTCTTTTGGTTTCCTCTTGGCAGTTGGATTCTGGCCAACTGTTTCATTCTCCCCTTTTGTAATGTTTTCTTTGAAGCACAAAAACAATTTAAATCAATTATGGTTGAGACCAAAGCTTGTAAAAAAATTTAGGATAAATTATGTTGGGTATGCAGACAACCTTTAATAGAAAGCCCAAGCCTGGGGGTGGGGCCCTCGCAACAGAATTTTTTCCAGGCCTGTTTGGCTATTTTTAGCCCATAGAATTTTACCTTATATAATGTAATAGTGTTTATACATTTTAGGGTTAGAGAGAAAAGAGGTACTACTGCCGTTTTTTAGTGTGAGGGAGAAGAAGAGTGTTTGTAATTCTAGACTCAACATAGTGAATTGGTGTAGCTCTTGAGAATATAGACAGGTTGCCGAACTTCGTATATCTGTGTTTTTTGTCTATTTATTTTTTCTGTGATTCATAATTTCCAAGATTCATAGGGTTAGGAGTTGAACACGTAGTTTAAATCCTAACAAAATACACTAACCTCCCCTAAGTTTTGGAGAAAATATAGTAAGTCCTACAAGTTTGGTATAATTATACTGGACTCCTTTATGGTTTTAATTCATCACTCTTACCTCTTTTTTCATAAGAAATTCATTAGTGGTATAAATAAAAAAATGTTATTTTCATCTCTCTTACATTTAAGGGTTCGTTTGGGAAGTGGATTGACTTTTTAGCTTTTTGGCTTTTTGGCTATTTTAGCCTGAGGCTAAAAAACCTGATTTGGGAAGGACTTTTAGTTTTTTTGACTTTTTTGTGAAAGAAAGAATGTAATGATTATAAGTTGGATGTGATGTTTTGTCTTATTAGACTAAAAAACATATTTTATTTTTTGTGACTAAAATAGCCAAAAAAGCCGCAAGTTGGGTTTCCCAAACGAAGCCTAAAGGGCATGTTTGATTGGGTAGATTAGAGTATGGGATTGGGATTATTAATCCGTGGGCCCAATTATCCTATGTTTGTTTTAATATTTTGATTTAGGATTATTAATCCAATGGATAATTAATCCAACAAATTTGTAGGATTATTAGTAATGGGGTAGGGGTGGGATTATTAATCCAATGGATATTAATTCAATTGGATAGTGAATACTACACTAATTTAATAGGATTATTAATACTTCACATTTAGTCTTGTGAACCAAACATGACCTTGGGGCATGGCTGATTGGGCGGATTAGAGTATGAGATTGGGATTATTAATCCGTGGGTCCAACTATTCTATGTTTATTTTAACATTTTGGTTTAGGATTATTAATCCAATGGATAATTAATCCAACAAATTTGTAAGATTATTAGTAATGGGGTAGGGGTGAGATTATTAATCCAGTGAATATTAATTTAATTGGATAGTGAATACCATACTAATTTAATATGATTATCACATGGAAGATGTCACCCTTAACCAGAGCCCTGCATCTCCAGTCTACCCTGCATGGGGCCCATACTTGAGCAAACTGTAAACCATGAACTTCACGCACAACTTCCAACACCTTGCTAATTTCATCTAAGGCTTCACTTTTTTCCACATTCTGAATCTGGTTGAAAAGTGTCGTCACGTCCAAGTATTGTCAGAAGATATTCCTCATTATATTAATTTAAAAAATAAAATAAAATACCAAATTTGACATTACATTACAGTGTACCACTTACTAAATCCGTGCGATGGTTTGCATGTGAAATTGAAGATTCCAAACCTACCTTCTGCAGGATAATGGAAAGATGCCACTACGGAATCTTGTACACTTTGAAATGTAGAATATTTATTTGCCAAGAAAAGGAAGCATATAAGAGACTCTATAATGGAAAAACAATTCAGTCACAGCTAAATGAGCACGAAATGCGATAAAAAAATACTTCTTGACGTTTTGCTTTGCTTTCTTTCTTTCTAGCATAAAAGCTCATGCTAATAAGATAAACAACACACTATCTTATCCTCAAATCAATAGGTCATTCTTTGTATAAACAACACACTATCTTATCCTCAAACCAATAGTTCATTCATTGTATCTTTTTGGATTACCATTTAATTTTACATTTTGTGTCACATTGATATTGATAACAATCGTGAAGAAATAACGCAATTACATACTCCTCACATGCCATTCGGCACTGACAAGATAAAAAAAAAGAACAAATAATAGTTGTGCTAATGGTCCATCTAGCTTCATCCTGTATTAATTTTTTTAGTCCGATTAATATCGATTTCAAAAGATTAGTGCTTTGATTTTTGTAATTTGTGGTGGTGTTTGGGAACTTGGTTCCCAAATTTTTCTCATTTTTTCTACTAAAAGACAAAAGTTTTGCAAAATCAAAAAAAAACAAATCCAAACAAAATATCACATCCAACCCCATAATCATTTCACTTTTTCTCTCACAAACATCACATCCAACCACAAAAAAACCCAACTATCTTCCCAAACACTAAAAAATTTTTATCCAATAATATCTTGCAACTAAAAAAACTTACATAAAAACCAACTTCCCAAAAAACTATGAATTTTATGCAGAATAGACACATGAGAAGCACGTAGCCATGTTGCATTATAATAGGATCAAATATGCACAAGCTAAAAAATTAAAGGAAAAAATTGTTGGTCTAATGGATTAGCCGGTCCAATGGGCCAGATACCACACAACAGTTGATGATTTATTAATAAAAAGAGTCATTTGTTATACAATTAAAAACTTGAAGAGACGTGATGTACATTCCAGAATCGCAGGGGACAATATGTGTTTTAAACAAATTATATTTTTGTAATTTACCCTATTAAAAACACACTTCTCATCTATTTTTTTTTACTTTTTTGATAATTTTTTTTCTTTTAAATTTAAATTATCGAAGGAGCACAATTCTGCATACATGTAAGAAAGGAGAGAGGGGAGTTAATCAGTCAACATTAGAAAGACATAAAAAAAGGCCAATTTGTGAGTTGGGGGGCTAACCTCAAGCATAAGCCACCAATGATAGTAGTCGTATAATAGAAATTCCTTTGAGGGCCTTGTTGAAACTCTCTCAAGTACACCAACACATAAGTGGGTTGAAGGATCAAACAGTGGGATAGCCCAAGATAGTTTAAGTTGGCAACGCAAAGCATGGTCGCGCAATGGATACTCTTTGATAGAGTAATATTCTACATTGGGAGAGAATTCGGGAAATCCATGGTTGAACACACGGCCAGGAACCCCAAGTTGTTCATCAGAACTCTCTGTATCCATGTAAAATTTATAGTCCATAGATCATCCTATACCCACAAACTCCTTTAACATCATCAATTGTTGTATCAGATGTAGAAAGAGCGAAAGGTTGGTTTTGAGTTGTAAGATAAGATCGGCCATCCATTGTCATTGTGGGTGCCCAAAATTGAAATAGTGTTGGATATTCAAACCCATCGAGTAAACAGTTTCGAAGGACAACTTTGATCTTCTTTTTTAAATCCAAAATATCTGATTAATAATAGCAAAAAAACAAAAAAACAAAAAAAAAACCAAAATTGGAGGAGAGAAGTGAGACTTGAAAAGCAGGTAGTAGGTAACTGTGTTGATTTAAAATTGACTTATAAATTAAACTCTGTTAGTGAAAATACCAAAAACAATTATATTTTATTGATAAATGATGCAAAGAAAATGAGATACAAATAGATCAGGCTGAGGCACAGATATCTCGTTTTCTTTAAGGAGATCAAGCCCACTGTGGTAGGAAGAACCCAAATACCGATGCAGCAGTCACAAAACTATGACTTGTCCCCTCCAGGATACAACAGCTCCACCACTTGTCGTATGGTTCAGGCCAACTCTGCACAAGATGGTGAACCCAAAGCTCCACCAATAAAACGCCCTTCTTTGCTAGTAATCTCTCTTTTATAGAAAAAATAGTTGGTGTATGTTGATAGAAAAGAGTAAACTATTTATAGGCCATTAGGACCTTACAGTTACACCAAAAATAATGACAATTAAACAAGAAAATGGTTACACCAAAATAATGACCATTAACCAAGTTCATGAATTCTATTTAACCTCCATTTATGACCAAGAGGTTACCAAAGTAATAAAACCCCATTTATGAAAAAGATAAACCAATAAATAAATATAAGATATTAAAATGGTCCAACAATCGCCCACTCATTTTAATATCAAAAAATAAAAATAAGAGAGATTACCAAACAAAGATAGACTAGTATGCATCATGAAGGTGTGCTCTGCATTGAACCTTCATTAGTGAAACAGCAACCTCTACTCCAGAGTCAGAAGTGGTCTCAGACTTGAACTATGACTGCTTAGGGGAAATAAAGAAGGTAAACCTAGTGGAGTATGGCAGGATACTTTTCATAAGAATCACCTATGTGAGTGTGAACTAGGGCGGTTCTATGAGATTTGTAAAGGGCTATAATTCTCTAAAGCACTCATGAAAGACCAGGTTGTTCAGGGCCAAAATGAACACAATAGTGAGAACTAAA